AGATAGATACAGCAAATTACGCTCCACAAGCAAATTCTTGGAATCTAGCTATGTTCATTCATTTACATGTTATCTATGGGCACAGTAGCAGAAGTGAGAATTGACATTTCACAAAGGATACCACAGCCAGTCTACTGTATTTCTAGTTTGAGGCTAATGAACATGTCTACTTTACCTAGTGTTGTGTATGTCTTTTGATGGACAAGCTCTAATTTGAAATGTAACTAAGAAGGACTTAATGGGCGGGGGGACAAGACATTTGGGTATTCATGTGTTGAATACAGTATTAAATGTGCATTCATATGTATAAAGAAAGATATATGTACATATACATATAAATATTTATATATGGAGAAAGGGAGAAAATAAATGAGAAAACAGGATCAGAGGAGGGGAGAGGGGAAGGGAGGGATCTTGGGGATGAGATACACTTAACATGAACTTCATTTATCTTTCACATACACTCAATATACCTAACACCTAAAGATTATTATAAAAAAATTTAAGCCCTTTTAAAATCTTAGCCCTATTTTGATTTGATCCATTTTATGAGGTCAGTATAGAATTTTCCATTTTTGATGTCTTTGTTGATACTCAAATAATTTGAATATTGAAGCATTTTGAACTTGGATTAGGGATACTTAATTTACAATGCTTTTTGGTTCTAGATTCCTAAGATTTTCTTTATCTATGTTTTAAAAGATGTGAGGATAGGTGTTAAGCCAGCTGAATATGCTCATTCAGGACTTATTTAGGAGTCCTAGTCCACTGTCTCTTCAAGTATGTGTTAGAAGAATTTCTTTATTTTTACTATTTGAATGTGGAACTATACGTTTAGATCTTTTGATTTTGCCTCACAAGTATCTTGAAATATTTTTTAAAGTTTTAATATTATTTTATTATTTTCTATATATGAGTATTTTGCCTGCATGTCTGTGTACCATTATGTGCTGGTGCCTGCTGAAACCAGAATGGGAGATCAGACCCCCAGGAACTGGAGTTTCAGACACTTGTGAGCCACAATGTGGGGGTGCTCAGAACCAAACCTTGGTCCTCTGAAGGAGCTGGGTCCTCTTAACTGCTGAGGCATCTCTCCAGACCTGGATTCTTCGTATTTGTCATTCTGCTTGCTTTTATTATGGCTATTTATTTTTGAAACTTAATTTTGATTATTACTAATCTAATATGCCGTTACACCTGCCTATCAATTTGCTTATTTCAGCAACTATATTTTTAGTTCTAAAATCTTTTATTCATCTTCATGGACTCATGCCTGAAATTCATTAAATGTATGTCTAGTTGTCCAACTCTCCATCAATTTTCCTAATCATATTGTATCGATCACAAATAATTTAAAGTGCATGTCTCCTAAAATTCAGTATTTTGTATGTGTTTGTATTTGCATCTTTGTCTTTTTTACTTCTTCTTAGTGGTGATGGTATCCTGGCTGTAGGTGCATTGATTATTTTTAGATTAAGTTCTGTATATGTTTAAAATACTTTTTGGTTTTCTACATGAAGAAAGGGTTTTGTTTTTCTTTCTCAGGCATGTGGCATTAAGGGCTAATAACTCTAATCCAAAAGGGAGAAACCTGATTTCAGGCTATACTGAGTTTTGATAAATCTCAGTTTATTTATTTATTTATTTATTTATTTATTTATTTATTTATTTAGGTTTTTCGAGACAGGGTTTCTCTGTGTAGCTTTGTGCCTTTCCTGGGACTCACTTGGTAGCCCAGGCTGGCCTCGAACTCACAGAGATCCGCCGGCCTCTGCCTCCCGAGTGCTGGGATTAAAGGCGTGCGCCACCACCGCCCGGCCTCAGTTTATTTTTTACTCAGAGTCCTGAGTTCAGCTCTCACTTGTGGCATTAGCCCTCACTTCAAACACAGCCTTTAGGCCTTTACCATAGACCAAAGCACTTCTTTCCTGTTTGTCAGATGTGGTGAACTGACATTTGACTATTTGAGAGAAATATGTACTCAGAGGACACTTGACTTCAGAGAACAGAAGGCTTAGTTCTTTACATTTCCATACTAGGAAGTAATTTATATGGCAGTGTTTTGGTCAGTGTTGCCCTGCATATGGGACAGTGGGCCACAGAGAGTACATCACCTGGTAATGTCATAACTATTTTAATTTAAGTATGCACACTAAGCTAATGGTGCATTTCTCAAGATAATGCTAAGTGACACATGACTATACTTGAGTCCCCTGTCTGTTTATTTTGACACCTTTTGAAAGGCTAGTTTAGTATTTTCCATCTTCTCTGTTTGGCAGCTGCATTGACTGAGGCCAGGCGGCTGCTCTTGGAAGTCAGGCGTCATTGGTCGCATGCTCCTTGCAAATAGTTGGTGTCAGTTCACCATCCTGTTCAGGACTTCAGTGCTATCTGCTTTCTATCAATCTTTCTGGTGAACGTTTCTTTTAGGTGCCATGAGTATAGGGCATTTTTTCTTTGCTATTCAGACATGTTGGGGTTAGCTTATCTGTCACTAGCCTGCCCAGCTTCAGAAGTCAGCAAATGCATTCACATTTTTTCCTATGTTTGAAGACTTTCTAGGCTTCAATTTTAATTCTTTATGCTTATGGGATTCATAAAACATTCTGCTTACCCTTCCCAGCTGTAGAAATTAGTCTTTGTTTCCATGGCCAGGGCTGGATTTTTATCCTAGCTAGTCAGTGTCTGTAGTTTATAAACAGTTCCTGTGGGGACACTGAAGTGTCGGCAGTACTTCGAGGATTTGTTTCTTGTGTGTGCAGTGGCTCTTGACCTTGTAGAGGACCCCATCTCTAAAAACTGTTAGATTGTAGGAGACTGCACTCTGCATTCCAGATTTTTTGGCTAAGATTTATTCCATGATGTCCCAGGAAGCTTTGTGAGTCAATACATTATTTGGAAACTGATTGGATTTATAAGATGTTAAAGAATTTAAATTTCATCTTCTATTCTTGTACAATCGTGAAAAGCCTTGTGGTTTCTCTGTGCCTCACACTAACCTTTCTTCAAACATTAGCTGTGGTCCTCAGCCTCTAGTCCATGAACAAATCTTCAAATGCTTAACAAAAATCGAGGTGTACACTGTAAGTCCACTTTTGAAAGGACTGCCTCTCTGATAGCTGAATATCTGTAATCTTCGTTAGGTTTTCTCCTAATATCCTAAAAGTATTTTTTTTTTCAGCTTTCTTAGTTTGTAACACAAGTAGCTGTTTACTATAAATTCTCCCATCCAACACCAAAGTAATTTCTGTATGTTTTTATGAGGGGGTTTGTGTCTTTGTGTTTTTCTATTGCTACCACATATTATCATAACTTATTGGCTCAAATTGATCATCTAATATTTCTGTAGACTAGAGGTCTGACAAAGGGTAATACCCGGCTAAATTCTAGGTAGCTCTTCTATGCCTGTCTCCCTTCCCCCATCTCAGTCATAGGTGCTCTATCTTTAAATGGTCTTTCTGAGCACTCTTTCTAATCAGATCCATCTGGCTGCTTGTGTATACATGAGATGATTATTCCTATTCGTAGTCTGAAACAAGAAGAGAGTTATGTGGTAATGCAGTCTGTTTTGTTTCTTGGGTCAGACTTACCTATCAGGCTGTCCTTGATCCAGATGGGCAGTGTTCTCTGAGTGGTGTTAGTTATGTGTTCTTACTCCCCTTAAGACAACCCTTCCATTTATTTCTTCACTTGTCAGTCTTTCTGACCTGACTGTATGCCAGTCAAGAAAAAGACCCAATGGAAAGTTTGAAAATACATGATTAAATATTTATCATTTAGGTTCTAACTAAAAGAAAACTGTTTTAATAGTCAACAAAAATGTTAAAGAGCAAAGAACATGCCAGTAGAAATATATGGAATTATTCATAATGGTAAGACCCAAAAGTCTTGACAACTAAAATTGTATGTACATTTTCCAAAATGTTTTAACTTGATTATTTATTATTGACTGGCATTTGTCAATGCATGTGTCCTTTGCTGATGCAGTTTTTGCTGTCAGCAAATTTAAAAAAAAAAATTTCTTCACAGTCGGTGTTGAAGTGTTTTCTTACCTGAAGTGGATGGGCCCTTCTTCTATCAATGCTATTCCTTGTGTGTTTCCCTTACCTACTCTCTTTACCTGTGTCTGTTGACTAAGGAGTAAGTGGTGATGGCTAAGATTAGAACAGTACTTAATATGATATTAAAGAAAACACATGTCAACTTACAGCTTGCAAAACTAGCTCACATGATCTCCTGTTTCCAATGCCTTTGTGTGTATTTAGTAGAAGTTAAGAATGGGAACTTTGGCTACATATGCTTATAACAATTAACTCATATTTCAATTTTTCCTTTTGTGGTTTATTATTTTGGCTTATCATTATCATTAAATCATTTCCTTTGTAAGTCATGGGTGCATGATTGTATACGTATAATTTTCTCAAGCATTGTACTTTATGTCTCAGAAGGCAAGAATAATCTTTTTGGAGTTCATATAAAATATATATGGCTTTATTAATTTACATATCTTGATATATCCACTACCATTTTTCCTTGTTCATAAAATATTTACTGAATGGCTAGTCTTCACTAACTAGTACTAACCAAATTATAATAAAAATAATGTGCTCTTTTGAAAACATACATACAAGTAATATTATACAGATTGAGCAGGTTATATTTAAGAATATATATGCATATATATGCATGTAGCAATGATTAATGAAAAAAGAGGCCATAGTTTTGAAAGTGAGCAAGGTGGGGTATGTGGGAGGATTTGGAGGGAAGAAAGGGAAATTATATAATTATATTATAATCCCCAAATAAGAGAAATAATTTTAAAATGTTATTGAGAGCTAATGCATTCTCAACAGTTTGCTTCTGTCCGTAGATGTCTAAGCACTTGATTCTTGATTCATTCTCTTATAGTGAGGATGGAAAGGCACATTTCCCGCAGAATCATAACCACCATATTGAAAGCAATGAGAAAATTAATTAATGGAAATCTTTTAATTTTTCAGGATGAGAGAGACCCAGAGAAAGAGGAAGAACTGGAACTGAAAAGAGGTCTTTTATATAGAGACTCTGCCTATGACAGTGACCCTGAATATAGGTACGGACTTGCTTCTGTATGCAGAGATCTTTCTTACAGCTAGCATAAAAATGACCCATTTATCTTTTTTTCTAGATTTTAATCTTAATTTTATTCTTAAAATTATAGATATGTGTGTCTGTATGTGGATATGTGTGTGTGAATGCAGATGCCTGTGGAGCTTGGAGACATGGGATCTCCCTGGAGCTGGAGTTATTGTCTGTTAACCCCCCAGTGTGGATGTTTGGAACTGATCTTGGGTCCTCTGCAAGAGCAGTAGGCACTGTTAACCACTGAGCCATATCCATCCCAGTTACATTTTTTTTTTTTTACTGGAGCTTTTGGATAAAAAACACACCTAAGAGATAGGGGGATGACTTAGGAAAGTGCTTGCAGAGCAAGCATGAGGACTGCGTTTCCACTCCCCAGTACCCATGCTGGGGGTGGAAGACAAGAAGCTGTACACTTCTGTTTGTTATCCCAGCACTGTGGAATCAGAGACAGAGGAGTCATGGGACTTATTGACCAGGTAGTGTGGCTGAATTGGCCAACTCTAGATTCAGTGCAAGACCCTATCTCAAAAAATAAGGTGTAGGATAACTGAGAAAAACACCAGACATTGACTTCTGCCTCTGTACACACATGCTTATCCATTTTCACACATGTACACATGCACATACACTCACACATGAATATCCAACTCACAATGATGCTTTTCCTCCTGTTTAGGATTTGACTGCTCAGCACATTCATGTGTTTCATGATACATTTGTCCTAAACTAAAAATAGTTTCCAAAATTAGATGAGTAAATCTTTTCAAAATTATGTAAGAAAAAAATCTGTTCTCCTAAAATTTAAGGGATCTTAGTAATAAAAATATTTTTGAAAGATTATACTAGTAGATTTCATTTTGAAAGTTCTGTGCCAATGGCCATGAGATGCAGAATTAAAAACTGTGAATCATGGGTAGTTAAAACTATTGCTGCTCTACCATGGAGTACCGTATGAGTTTTTCATCACGAAATTCCTTAGAGACTTACATAGATGCTCCATGAAGTGGAATTTTTTTTTCTAGCTGGAGTTTGCACCAAAATTGTAACCTTGGCTCGAACTTCTATGAACATGTGAGGGCATAGCATGAGTGTGATCTCCTTTCCCAAAGTCATTGCCTCCCAATCAAGAGATAGCCTGGGCCTCTTATGAACGTGGATTGACTATTGTAGATGGATTTGAAAGAGAAACAGTGAAAAAAGGAAAAGAAGGGTTCAGGGAGCACATAGTTTATGCAAAGTTTTTCTCTCTTCTTGGTTGTTCTTTCTAAAAATGTCTCTTCCCTAGATTGCTATACCCACTAGTGTTTTGCCAATTTGACACACGCTAGAGTCACCTGAGAGGAGGGACCCTCAATTGAGAAAATGCCTCCATAAGATTAGCCTGTAGGCAAGCCTGTGGGATGTTTTCTTAATTAGTGATTGATGTGGGAGGGACCAGCATTGTCCTTTGTGAGTGGTGCCACTCCTGGGCTGATGGTCCTGGTGTGTATGAAAAGGAAGTCTGAGCAAGCTATGTGGAGCAAGCTAGTAAGCAGCACCCCCACCTTCCGCTTGGCCTCTGCTTCAGCCCCTGCTCCCAGGTTCCTGTCCTGTTTGAGTTCTTGACCTGACCTCCCACACTGATGGACTATTACTGGAAGTATAAAATGAAATAAACCCTTTCCTTTCCAAAGTGTTTTGACCATGGTCGTTATCACAACAATAGAAACCCTAACTAATAAAATTGTTTTATAAATTACAACCCCAGTTTTGATGGGTAAATCAATATAATTCTGGTTTGGGCAAGAAATAAGAAGTAAACTTGACATTGGAAAGGGTCTGATCTTTGAAGTTTTATATAAATAATAATTGCCTGTGTTGTTTCATAGAAATACAGATTTTCACCTGGTAACTCCAAAGTTTGTGGTTTCTGCATGGAGATAAAACCAAAACTGTGCATTAATAAAAGTGCTGGAGGGTTCTAATACAGGGAGTGTGAGAACAACACTTTGACAAACATTGCTCTTGACTTGAAGTTTCCCATAAACTGATTCTTGTTCTTGTTCATCAGTGTCAATAATTAACCCTATTTGTGTTGATTCAATGTTGTGTTAACCCTCAGAAGCTTTAAATAAGAGTTGAGCAGCTACTAAAAAAATTCTGTGCTCCTTTTTGGTGTCCCTTCACAGTACTCACCTTATATGTACATCCTTGGACCAATAGGATGGGTGCGCAGGCCTTCAGAATTGGTCACAGAGTGGTTTTGAATATTTTGCCCTGGAAGCTGCTCCTCAAGTGATTGGGTGTTTTAGTTTTATCTCCAATTCATGTGCTTCCTGTTAAGTGGGACTGAGAGGCAGGCACCTTCTCACAGCAAGCCATGAAAGGTTTTCTTGTTACAGAATCCCCAGGGAAGAAAAATAAGTACTTATAAGTAGCTAGTCTGCATTACACTCGTCTGCACAGATTTTTGGCTAATGCTTGGAAGAAGGATGGCAACATAGCATCTTCTCCCTCTGTTTATTGACTGTGTTTAAGAGAACTCTGCCATTGAGTGCCGCCCAAAGTGTGGTTCATATTAGTAGCATTAACATCTGCTTAAAGATCCAAAGTCTCAAGGCCCCACATGAGGTATATTTTATTGGAAATTTGGGGAGTGGCCAAGCTACCTGAATTACAGCAATGACTCTGGTGCATATTAAAGTGTGAGAAGCATTTCCAAATCTTATTGGTCCATACAATGGTTTGTAAGACTTTCCTTTAAAGTGGCTTCTTTTATTGTTTTATTAATGAATAATGGCCAGGAGTCACATATCAGGGTGAAACCTGATATATCTATCCACAGTGACAGAGAAAACAATCAGTGACCTCTACTCCCCACGGCTCCCCAATTGAAAGGGCTGCACATCTCCTTTGGCCCCTCCTTATTCCTCCTATGTGTCCACCTATCTCCTCTGAGTCCTCCAGAAAACTCTATTGTCCACTTTGGCCAGCGGAATGTGGACCCTGCCTTCCGAACCAAGACCTGACTTTATTGGCAGTCTTGGAGCAACAACACAAACAAATGTCAGGCAACACACCTTTGTATAGTGTCTTTAAAGGAATGTTGTCAGACCACAGTATAATCTCTCTCTCCCTGTTATCGGTTCTAAAGCCCAAGACTAAATCTTTTCTCCTTCCTACCATCCATCCATCCATAGATCCAGCCAGCCAGCCAGCCTCTAGAACATATGCTACATGCTCAGAACTTTTCTGCATGTTTTATTTGTTGAGTTTTTTGCCTGATAGAAACCATTATTGAGTTTTATGACAAGGAGTTCATATCTTATAATCTAAAATACCTATAATCATATAGACTCTAGTATTACAACTTTAAAATGCTAAGCATGCTAGTTAGTGTCTTAAAATCTTTCTCAATTCTGGTTCTTTAGGTATAAGTAGTACATTTTATTTTACTACTTATGTAATGTACTACTTTTCTGTTCCCATGAAAAAAACAACACAATTAAGGAAACTTACAGAAGAAAGAATTTATTTGGGCTTATGGTTCCAGAGGGATAAGAGTCATCATGGTAGGAAAGCAGGGTGTCAATAGGCAGGCATGGCAGCTAGAGCAGGAAGCTGAGCACTCACATCCTCAAGCGTGAAGCAGAGAGAGAGAGAGAGCAGATTGGACATAGTCAGATTGTACTCTTAAAGCTCACCCTCAGTAACATCCTTTCTTCAGGAAGCTTGCACCATCTAAACCTCCCCAAATAATGCCCTCAGCTGGGATAGCAGTTCCAATGCCAGATATTCTGGGGGACATTTCTCATTCAAACCATGTGCCTCTTAAAATTACTATTGTTTGCTTAATGTATCATCTTCAGAGCTCCATTTTATATAAATGTATGTATTATGTATGTATGTATGTGTGTATATAACTATGTTATTTTATCAGAAGGCTATTCATGAGAACTGAGTCATAAGCTATGTGTAAAATACTACTCATCTGACCCTTCATTTGAACTGAAAAAAAAAAAAACCCACAACAACAACAACAACAAAACCAACCCTCTAGGCCTCAAATGGTTTACATCCCTTTTCTAAATTAATCACCAGTAATCCTTTTGTTTTTTAATCCGTTCTAAATTTCCTAAAATATTCCTTTTATGTATATATTATAGGCTTCAATAAAACATGTATATAAATTTATAATTTATACATTAATAGATAGAATTTGAAACTGATTGGTTCTGTTTTCTTTGTCTCTATTCTTATTTTGTCATTTCTCTGCATAGCAATGTCACAGTTCAATAAAGAGCTGTCTATTCAAGCAAATAGTCATAAGTTGTTGGAAATATGTGCTACATTTAAAACAGTAACATCATTCCTGCTTTGAAGCTAGTTGATACAGTATTTTATAACATATAGTAAAACTTTATTAAATGATTTGTGAACAAGTGCTGGAGATATTATTGGTAAAATGAGAAGTGAAGTTGTTTAAAAAGCCCATTTCTATGTTATGATTTTTAGTGCCATACACACATTTGAATCTTAGTAATAACAGCAATGTAAAAAAATTCAGTTGTTCACAATTAGAGATTCTGGAATGTCTAGAAGTAAATAATACTGTGTTTAGGATTCTGATGTTTGTGTTTGCACCTCTCCATAGACTTCATATTAAGACTCATTGTGCTCAGATCTATATTTTATAATTCGTACTTTTACTTATTTTATTTGCTTTAAGTTTTTGGGAATTTCATACATACATATAATGTGTTTTGAACAAATCTACCATCGTTCCTCCCCATTCCCTATCCCCATCACCACTTTTCCTTACCAACATTATGTACTCTGTTTTATAAAGCCACTGAGTCCCCTTAGTGATAATTTGTATGTTCAGTGTTCAAGGGTGTAGGACCATATACACTGGAGAAATTTTAGCCTCTCAGGAGGCAATACCCTGAAGACAACTTACTTTCCCTCTCCAACAGCCACAAATTGCTA